ACTAAGTACGGTGCCGGGAACAACGCACATTCTTAGTAAACCTCCTTGTCCTTTCCTTGCTCTGGGGGACGTGGACAGTCTTCAGGGGGAGCTTTAAATGCACCCAACATTTGGCACACAGAGGACCAGTACATTTTAAGAAACTGATTCACAGGAATTATGGGAATCACAGAGACCAAAGAGGTCTGAGGAATAAATCAGATCAACTGAAAAATCCAGAGAAACGGTTAAGAGAACGTATGAATTAGGAGAACTTCATGCTGACGATCTTAAGGGGCCTAAAAACAATAGAATCACAGTGAGAAATGACTACTGATGGCAGAGACCTCAGCAAAGCAACTCAGAACAGACTGGGCATCTCTATTTACATTGTTCCCCCTCCAGGAGACAGCGCTCACTGAGGACCAGCACCATCTCTTCCATTCCGTCTCTACCCCTCACCACTGGTTTAATCTACTCTCCACAGAGAGCCAGATCAATCCTTTTAAGAGGTAAATCTGTCTTTCCCCTGCTCCAAAACGAAAAACTTGATAAAAATCCAGTGTCCTTATCTACAGTGACCCACATGGTTTGGCTCTTGGCTTATGTTCTACTCTCACCTGTCTCCCAACTTCTGTGCAGCCACAGTGACCTTCCCAGTGTCCTCGGAGCTGCTCAAGGCCGTGCTGTTCCTTCAGACTGGAGGGGCCTCCCCTGTAACCATGGTTTGGCCTTGCTCTTTATGCAGAGTCCTGCTCAAGTGTCACCTCATCAAGGATGGCTTCCCCGCCTGAAATAGTTCCCATCCATCACTGCAATGCCCCTCATTCCATGTCTCCTTACGCTCTCTATTTTTCTTTGGAATGCACATCAACTCCTGGTGTGCAGATGTGTGCTCACTCTCTCTCTCTCCACACACACACACACACACACACACACACACACACACACATATGCGTGCATGTCTATGTGTCTGTGTGTACAAATTCCATGAAAGTGAGACAGCGAGGAAGCCAGGGCAAGTGGAATAAGGAAACTGAGACAGATGGTTAAATGGCCAAGCAGTTTACAGCCATCTAATAAATCTCCAAATCCTATCTTCCCTAACCAAGGACACTTAAGAGTGGTCTATACTTCCCCTCCCCAACCAGAAGACAAATAGCTTAAATCACCTACTCAGGGAGACAGACAGCAGAAATTAGTGCCATTTGTGCCAACCACACCCAAGGACAGATGAAGTTAAGGGAATACATCTCATTTTGGTGCATCAGCATAAAGCTGATGAATATTCCATTGGATCCTTCCCTAATACTTGCCCCAATTCCCAGACTGTAAAACCCTCCAGAGGAAGCACCCAGCAGACCGCCACGCATGCCCACCTTGCCCCCCGCCCGGGCATTGCCTCACCTTCGCCTTTCTCTCTCCCAAGCGCCCGAGGCCCTTCTTTTGCCTTGTAACTTGTTTCCTGAGCCTACGCAGTCCAGCTGGCTTACTCCTACTACTTCTGTAACGTTCTAAATAAACTTTCTCTTATAATTTGAGTTCCTGGCTCTGAATTCCTTTTTTGCCGAGGTCTAACTTCGCCGGTAACAACTGGTGCCGTTTTGCCGTCAACATCGCCAGTAACCAAAGCACGAACGTTTTTGTGCTTCGTTCACTTTTGTATCATCTGTACTCTTAAGATTGTCATCAGACAGTCAGAGGAGTGGACTTTAACCTCAGCTCTGCTGCTAACCTGGAATCCAGTACGCATGGACTCTGCCAACATCTTCCCCCCAAACCCTGCCATCACCACCAGAACCTCCTTCTGAGATCTGGTGGTCAAGGCTCTCTAGGAGAATTCAGACAGTCAGTAGTTTAGAGAAAAAGACCCTAAGTTGTGATTGATACAAGGCGATCTCTGGCTAAGCAGTCAAATTTCTGGCTGTTTGGCCCCATAGACAGAGACTTTGGTTGCCAGTTACATGCTTGGGCACATCTAGCTCATGTTTACTTCATTTCTAAGCTCATAAGACATTTCTTTTCAGGGATGTCTTGTCTAAAAGGATTATGGTAAATCACGAGTATGAAATACTAAATCTGTTTATCAACACTTGCTGCTTCAGTTTCAAATAGGATTTGCGGATACTAAGCTCTAAGACGGGGTGGCCCGTATCGCTGTTTTCAGAGAGCCCGAAGTCACACCCAAAGGGGCACAAGGTTCCCGATTCCGTGGGATTTGCTGTCCTTTCCAAATTGCCGGCTTCATTTTACTGAAAACAGCTATGCCTATTTCTCCCAAGACCTGAAGGGCAGTGGGAGATAAACTTTCCTTCGTAAGGCAATAAAAGGAAAGGAAAGGAAAAAAACAGCATTTATTGATACATACACAAGATGAGCTGCAGATAAAATTTAAGAATCCTCAATTTACAGAAACAAATAGAGCCAAAAGTGTAGGTGAGATCACTCTGGAAAAGGGGGCACAGACTGAAGAGGACACCCCGCTGCGGTGAACTTTGATGTTCTGGTCAAGAAAAAGACTAGGAACTTGAAAAGGAGATTAAGAAGGAGTCAGAGACACAGGAGAAAAACTGGGAGAAGGTGACATTCCAGAAAGAAAACCAAAAAGAGAGAGTGTTACACAGGAGAGCAAACGGTGATTCTTGGTGCCACATACTATTGAGAGCTTCAGGGGCTGGGTCACATCCTGAGGACCTCGAGGTCTCTGAGGACCTTCACAGCACATGTTTCAGGGGCCAGTGGACACAATTCAAACTGGAGTGGGCAGAGGGGAGTGCCAAGTGAGGAAGTAGTGACTGAGATCTAGGCAGTGCTTTGGTGAAACCTAGCTTCAAAGAGGAGAAATACCAGGAGGTAGTTGGAAGGGGTAGGAAGTCAGTTCACACGTGGAAAGAGTTGGGGTTTAAATCCAGTTCTACTCCTAAGACTGAATTCTATGAATGGCTGGTATGCTACTGTTTCTGAGTTTCATGCGAATCCATAAACCCCTCTTCCCCATTTTCATTAAAAACTACTCCCATGAGGTTCATCTGTAGAAGAAAGTTCTGGACATTTTGAGTATTTCCTTGCACAGTCTAACTATCCCTTAGGTTTGTGTTGAGCTTTCGGATCTTCAGAGATTGGCATTTCCATGATCTACTTTCATCCATATAACACCTGTAAAAGGAGTTAAGCAGGGCGGTATTATTGCGATTTTTATGGGTGAAGAAACTGAATCACCAAGACATTTATGGCAGAACAGACACGTGAATCCAGACCTCTATTTTCTAGCCCAGTGTTCTCGCTCCATAACCTTTCCACAAGAAGGTAGGCAGGTTATAGATGACTCACAGCTGCTGCCTAACCCTAGAACAGCCAGGCCCCAACTCCTCCACCCTTTATAATCATTAGTAATAGTAACAGAAGTAGTAGTAGCAGTTGTCATAATGGTCAAAGTGCTGTTACAAAGCCTTGCCAAACATTATTTGCTAAGCTCCAAGAGAATTCTCAGTTATCCAAGGTTGGCTCTCTCATAACTATTCACCATGTTCTGATGAGGACACTGAGGTTCACACATAATGTATGTTGGACCTGGGTGTGAATCTAGATCTCTGGGCTCAAATCCAGTCCTCTGTCTATGTGTTCATGGTTTATACATGCCGGAGCCCTTCAAGAATCTGATGAGAGTTATGGCCCCTCTTCACAGAAACATATGCATGAGTGTATCACCACGGTCTGGTGCTAAGTGTTCACTTGCTACTAGGGTGTCATTACTTCTAGGCCACCTCAGTAGGGAGAGCTAGGAAATGAATGTGTGTATGCTCACGCATGAATACACACATCTGTATTTATTTTATTTATACCCAGACAAAAATATATATATAGTCAAAAGTTGATTCTAATACCTCCGATTTCCTCCTGATACACTGAGTTCACGCCAACCTTCCCCTTTCCTTATTTGTGAGAAATCTGTCTTTAATAATCCACATATATTTATTTATTGAATAAATGCAGTATACATATAAAGTATTTTCAGAATAGCTAACCAATACATCTATGAAAAACAAATTTGGTATTTGCAGTATAATATTTATATACAGTTATTTTATCTGTAGCCAGTCTACTGTCAAAATATTCCTTCCCAAAGTTACTTAAGTTAGTTCTTTTCTTTCCCAAACCCCCTTTAGTGTGACTGTGGTATTCACTATTAATATAATGGGCTCACTTTTTTGCTGTTTGTATTTAACTTTATCTACGCTCACCACACACATATATCCTGGATCAATGGATCTAACTATCGATTGATCTATCAATCTATCTATGTATATCCCTGTATGTATCTATCTTCCATCTATTTTCAGGGGCACATGAAGCACCACTGTCATTCCAATAGTACAGTTGTATAAAAATCTGTACTCAGAAAAGTGCCGTTTCCTCCTGCCGTCCCGTTTCTGTGCCTCTCCCCCTCCTTGCATTCCGTTCTGCCCACCCAGTGTAACTAACCCATCTGCTTTGGGTTGAAGTTTCCTGTATTTACTTTGCACAAATGAGTAGATACGTATATATTGTCTTATATCACCTTCTTTTCACATGAAAGGGAGCATATTACCCCTGTTCTTTGAACTCTACCTTCATCGCTGAGCAGTACGTCCTGGGAAGCACCCCTGTCGGTGCCTTCTGAGCTCATGGAGGAAGATGCAGGCTTCAAGAGGCCGAGTGACTTGCCCAGTTACACGCCTAGTGAGGAGGAGTCTGCCTTTGAACCCAGTAGGGTTTGACTCCAAAATCCATGCTCCTTTACTACATCAGAGTTTCTCATCCACAGCTGCTGGCATATTTTGGGATATCTAGGTTCTCTGAATTTTCTTAGGTCATTTAAAAAAGTAATACCTGGATGTTCTAGATCATCTGGAGAACTGCCTTATAACCAAACACTGCCAGGCGTTTTCACTGCCCGGGGGATCTGAACATCGCACATCAGCCTGAAGGGAGCGCCCTCGGCACAGCCGGGCAGGGAAGGCCAGGGCACGGGAGGCAGTTACCTGGCGGCGGCCTTGGCTTGCAGCTCGGGGAAGGCGGCGTGGCCCTGCACCACGTGGTCTATCTGGAAAACAAGAGAGGTGGGTCAGGCTGGTCATTTCTCTAGTCCACATTTAAGCCAGAAAAGATCTATTAAAACGTCTGTTTCTTTCAACTCTTTGTCCATAGAGGATCCAAGCATGTTAAAAAGACAACTCAGCGAGAGGTATTTCAGCTCCGCGGGAAACCTAGCTTTGCTGAACCTAGTGTTGGATTTACAAAACAAAGGCGATGTGTTCTAGAACTGCACACCTGAAACCTCTATAATCTTATTAACCAAAATGTCACCTCGATACATGTAATAAATTCAAAAAATGAAAATAAAAATTAAATTAAATTAAAGGAAAGATAAAGAAGTTAGAGAGAAGAGCAGCAGGACAGGAAGACCAGCGCAGGCGGGCCAGGCCCGGGAACGAGGTGTGCGGATGGCAGTGGGAAGCGGGGAAGTTCAAGGTCAATGCGGGCCCTGGTGTGAAAGCACTGGCCTCTGTCACCCTGTCTGCGCCTGCTGACCCAGGCTGGACCCCAGGCAGTGTCAGACCGTGGATTACTCACTGGGTCTTACTAATGGAGAAGTTGAGTGAAAGAGACTGTGAGGAGGAAGTCTCCATTAAATGGAAAAAAAAAAAAAAAGATTGACAAGACAACCTCCCCTGATTGAGAAGTTAACAGAGCGCTCCAAGGACAAAGATGTCTGAGCTCTGGGGACAACTGTCTTCTTCTTATGTCTAGGATTTTATTCCCAATCCAGTTGGCAGCTCTAAACAAAATAAAATGTAGTATGCATCAGGAAGAGGAATGCCTTTCTGTGCTGCTCCCTGCTCGCTAGAACACACCCAACACTGAACTTAATCTGCGTATTTTCTCGATGTTTACATGAGTCTCTAGGACTCAAAAACAACTATTCTGACAGATTTATTTTCATTCAAACTATGAACCAGCTGGTTGTTTTGGCCCCATGGAGACAGTCTCTCTGAGCACGCTTCTTGAGAGCCTGGGCCGTATAAGGAGAGAATGTTTGGGGGCCTCAGTGGCTGGATTTGCGGTCTGGTTCTGCCACTAGCTGTGTGGCTTTGTGCAAGTTACTTAGCTTCTCTGGGCCTCAAAAACTTTTCCCCTTGGCCGGCCTTCTTTTAAAACAGGACTGCTAGGCCCTTGCCAGTATGGCTCAGTGGATAGAGCATCGGCGCATGGACCAGAGTCTTGGGTTGAATTCCAGTCAAGGGCATGTACCTCGGCTGTGGCTCAGTCCTCGCCCTGGGCGGGGCATGAGGGAGGCAGCCAATTGGTGTGTCTCTCTCACATCAATATCCATGTTTCTTTTTCTCTCTCTCTCCCCCTCCCTGTCTCCCTCCTTCCCACTCTATCTGAAGATAAATGGAAAAAAATATCCTTGGGTGAGGATTTAAACAAACAAACAAACAAACAAAAACAAAATTGCTGGGATTTATAGAGTGTATACCATAATGCCAACCATAGTATAAATACTATTACCTAAAATTTATTGACTCATTTACCATATATTAATACTAAGCTAAGCATTTTACATACATTATCTCATTTATTCCTTCCAGTACCTCCATGGAAAAGATACTATTGTTCACTATAGAAGTGAGAAACTGAGAGTAAAAGACAAAGTAACTTGCCCAAGGTCACAGGTAAGTGACAGATCTTTCTGTTTTTAGCCAGGTCTCTGTATCTAAAGTCCTTATTCTTGACTACTACGCCACACTGTCTATTAAACTTCCAGGTATAATACAGTTTGTTGAATTCTAGTTGTACAAGTTCTGCAGAATGTTTCAAAATTACATCAAAGCAATTGGCCATTTCGACGGGGGAAAATGCAGGTGTGGGATGCTTATTTCCTACAGGTTCAGCGTTGGGTTACAGTGATGAGGCATATTCTGGACCTTAAAGAGTCTGCATCAGTGAGGCATTACTTGATTTGATGCTAATTTTGATGGGAAGTACTTTCGTACTTTCGGAGGTCAGAGGAGGGAGATGTAAATGAGCTCCCAGGAGGAAGCGCAAAACCCAGCATGCGTAGTGCATGCATAAACAAAGTTATTCAGTATTCACTGCATGCTTAATGCATCAGGGACCGTGCCTGGCCTCGGGGAAGACAGTGGAAAATAAAAATGCAATACACACAATACATGATAACATCATGTAAAAGATCAATAATTTGGCAATTATAGTTGGGAGGAGAGGTGAGGCTTCAGCTGGGAAGCCAAGAACAGGCAGTTTGGAGGAGAAAAGAGTTGAAGGCAAGGCTTTCCAGAGAGGGGATGGTGATGAGTCCGGATATGAAGGTAGAGAGACAAACATGGTTACAGACCATAAGAGGACTGGTCAAGCCCCGTGGCTGGACTATGATAGATGCTCAATAAATATTTGCTGAATAAATGCAGTATGCACGGACCACATGGAGACACACCACGTGCTCACAGTACCATGTGCTATTGGTAGCACTTGCCACACATTGCGTTTGTGTCTATTTGCACGAGGCACACTTTGGTCACCAGGTGACTGTATATTAAACTAGAGAATAAATACAGTGTTGGGAACAGGGAATGAATGAGGAGCAAGGGGAAAGATGGTGAGTCTTAAAAGTCAGGTCAGTGTTTAAGTGTTTGTAGTTTTATCGAGTTAGAGGCCTTAGGAAATTATTTTGATTTGGGGAGCAAGGTGGTAAAAAGTTAAGGACAATGAGTCTGGGCGGGTATAGAGGACAGGAAGATGAGTAGACAGAGAGCGGGAAATGCTGACACACTCCGAGGCGGACTCTGGGAACAAAAGGCACAAATACTCCTTGCCCTTGTCCTCTTGTGGCATTTGTCAAGGTCTTCCACATCCATCAGTTGACACATCAGTCTTTTATTCTACACTCTGAGTGAGTTTAAATCAAGAGCCTGGTTATTTCCCAGGCCCCAGTGTTTATAACAATGCCTGACATCTTGGTTAAAAAAATTGAGATACATTTTTAAGAAAATAAAACACATTTAGTGACTAACCAGTTACAGAACATAAGAAAATCTGAGTCAAGGATGATTTTGAACTTTTGGATCAAAGAAAAGGAAGCGTGGCCACATTAATCATGTCTTTTTATTTTCTCTATTTCTGATGCTCTGATATCTAGGGCCTTATTGACCCTGGAGGGACTGCCCCCGAGGGCCAGCCAAATCCTACCGGTAGGAAAGGATTCGACTCGCCTATAAGCATCCTTATCTGCACACTGCGTTCTCCGGAGGCCAACTCCCACCACCTCCTCTACGGACCACTGTTTTCCCGCTTTAACCACCCCAGGGCCAGCCACCAACAACTGGGGTCACCCCGTCCCTCCCTTCCCATGCGGCCCTGTCTGGCGTGGCATGCTCCCTCCTCTTGAGACCTGACGGTGACAAGCCCCCTTCAGCGGCAGTGTCTCCTGCCCTGTCGACCTCGTCAGACCTGAACAACAGTGACGTCTCTGTTTGAAAGCAGTGGTTTAGTGGAAAGAACATGCACTTCGGAAACAGACAGGCCTGGGCTCCAATTCATGGTCTATACTTCTATTCTGTGCTATGTAGGAAAAGTGACTTGACCTCTCAGAACCTCATTTCCTACAATGATAACATAGGGATAAGAACTTCACTTTGCAGGGAAGGTTGTGGTGCTTGTCGGGTATGGAGGTGGCTTTCAGTTCCTGACACTCAGTGTTAAAAAGCAGGGGGCACCCCCAAACGAGTAAAAATAGTTGGGAGAACAGTGCCTCAGAGGGTCCGCTGTGCTCTGTTTGTCGTAGCATCTGGTGGTAAAGGCCCACCCCTGATTAGCAAAGAACAAGCCAGTCTGTCAAATAACTGAGCATTCATTTCAAAAGCCTGGAGTGCCTGTTCACAGAGTTGATCTCTCTACTTATGTTTGCTTCGCTAATGCACTTAGCACAGTATAGAAGAACACGGTGTCCCATTAGTGGTTACTTGTTTTCCAATGAAATAACCAGTTTAACCACAATGACTGTATTGGCCAAGTGGTTGCCTTAGAAATACATAGACAGAGCTGGTCTAACTCGATGACTGTTTTCTTGTTTCCATCATCTTCTCAGATTTCAGCGCGGAGAGCAGGCAGTTGTGAGTGTGCAGAAAAGTCACAAACTGTTCGGATAGGTAGGACGCCTGAGCTGGATGGAGTCAGGTCCTCCTCAGGAGGGCTTTCGGGTCTAGCTCCAGAGGAAAGGCCATCTGACAATCCAGAACTTGGCTGGATTGTTGGTCCTTCCTTATAAAGGTGGCATCTGCCTTTGGAACACGGGAGGAACAGAAATGTAATACAGTATAACCCAGTGATCAGAACCGGGTAGGAGGAGGTGGCATCTGGCCCACAGATGTATTTTATTTGGGAAACATAATGTTTTTTTAAAATGAGCCAATATTTTAAAATTTGGAGATTTCACTTAAAATCCAGATTTTGGTTTCTTTTGAAGACTCGGGGCCACCCATGTTCCCCCACGGCAAGAGTCAGCTGGAGCCAAGTGGTGACGGATCCCTTCGGACAGGCCTGCCCCCTTCCGTTTGTGAGAAGCGCCACTACTCTATCATTCCCAACAACAGACACCAGGTTGCACCAATTTATCATCATGACTGCACTAATGTTTTACTTGTAGAGATCTATGTCTCTATGCTCCTCTCGCTGTCAAAGGAGGGATCATGGAATTCAGCCTGGGAGTACAATGAGTTGAAAGAAAAACTTCTCTGTGGGAGTAAAGAAAATATTTATTTGCCAAGTCTGTTTATTCATTTGCGCTGTCTGACTGCTTTAGGTATTTGAGGGTTTGACCCTTGCAGAGAAACACAGATGAGAAATCCTGAGACCAGAGTTCTGACTCAGGGCATGATCATGGACAAGAACATGCCTAATTCTCTCTCTTAAACATTTAATAAATTAATGTGACAAACAGCTGTTTGTAAAATTACAAAGAGAACCACATTGCCTGAGATATTAAAACTGTTGGCAAAAGGCTCACATGCAAGGAAAACACATAAC